AGCGATCAAACTCCCAAGGGGTCACTTTGCATATTAGCCATATATATATATATATATCATTATTTTCTATACTTCATAGTTGAGGTATTAGAGTCTCATATATATATATATGTAAGTTCAAGTCTCCATTAAAATATTATCATATTCAGCTTACTTGTTCAGAAAATAAATGTAAACAAATAAATTCATTTCTTCCATGGAAGAGTAGCATTGTAACAGAATTGAGATTATTGAGTAAAGAGTAAAGAGGGAGGCTCTAGCTGGTTTGGCTCAGTGAATAGAGCATCAGGCTGCGGACTGAAAGGTTCCAGGTTTGATTCCGGTCAAGGGCACAAGCTTGGGTTGTGGGCTTGATCCCCAGGGCAGGCATGCAGGAGGCAACCAATCAATGATTCTCTCTCATCATTGGTGTTTCTATCTCTCTCTCTCCCTTTCCCTTCCTCTCTAAAATCAATAAAAATATATTTTTTTAAAAAGGGAAGACATATGTAATTTGCTCTCTCTCCAGCTTTCAAACTTTATCCTAGTTAATCTTTACTTTTCTGAAAATAATTCTGGGCTAGGAGACTGAGAACTTGAATTTGGTGAGAGTTTGGTGCTCAGCTATATCTTGTTTGGATGGACAAATTGCTTTAGACAAGCCTTATTACCTGTCTACCTTTCAGTGTCCTTTGACTTGCTCTTTGGAATGTATGTGGATATTGTACTGGCAGGTACACATTATTTTCATTGAACATTTATTTTAAGTTCTTTCTAAGGATTAAGGTTACTAGATGAAAGGCCCTTGGTTCAGCTGAGGCTTTGATGGGTCTGGATAGGCAAATTTGGAGGCAGGAGTAAAAGAAAGCTGAGTTTTCCTCTATAATCTAGGTAAATAATTCAGTGTGTGTGTGTGTGTGTGTGTGTGTGTGTGTGTGTTTATGGAGGAGGGGGGTTAAGTCACAGTTCAGGAAGAAAGAAATGAAGCAATGAAGAGTACATATGGATAGAGATGAGGGAGACTGGAGAGCTAGGGACATTCAGGATTGTGGTGTGACTCCACCATGTCACCCTCTCAAATTATAAATAAATTATACCAAGAAGAAAGCCAAAATAGTGTTTCAGTCAGAGGTGACAGCAAATGAAAAGGCCCTAGCTCAGTAAGAGTGAGAAAGAAAGAAAAAGTATGAAATTTAAGAGCTAGAGAGAGGGCACACATTATCTAGGTCTTCACTTTGAATCCACTTTTCTCCTTTTGCTCTCATGGCCATTCTTTTATTGCAAAAAAAAAATCATCAAAAAAATAACTAAACAATAAAAAACCTGCAAACACCAGACTTTAAAATAGGCGTAAGTCTGCTAAAAATAGCTATGATAACATAGACGCCAGGTGGGAGATATTGAAGAGAGGTGTGGAGAATGGTTAGAAGACCATGCAATAGCAAATGTCAGAAAGTACTAACAGAAATAGACTAACTGAGGAGAGGCATACCTTGAAGATCAAAACTACATTCATGTTTGTAACAAATGACTCAGGACCTGAGGTGTGCAATCTAGAACTATTTTTGTTTGGAGAAAAAGGGCATGGAATATGCAAATGTTCACACACATGGGCCATATTGGTAGGAAGAAGCCTGTCTCTGTGGTAACAGTAGGATTGCAAGAATCAGCTACTGTGGAAGACTACGCTACCCTCCCTGCCTCACAGGAGACTTGTGGAAATAGCTGGCCCAGGAAAATTCAATGCATGGAATAATGAGTAAGACAATAAGATTGGAATAGGAACAATACAAATATTATACGTGGAAAAATGACAAAAAGAATAATCAAGATTCACGAGAAAAATGCTTCCATAGCATAGATGAATATTATAGCCAAACATTTAGCTATGAATTCAAAAATTATTAATTAATAGTAGCCTCTATGAAGAAATATAAAAAATCAAGAAAACTGGCAAGACAATTGTGCCTGGCAAAAATCAGGAAAGAAGTGAAATATATATGTATAGCAAGATATATACATATATATTTCACAAGGTAGATAAAGTCCTGCATGTCAACAGGACTTGATCTATGTTTAGGCTCATAGCATTTTTCCAACAGCTCATTTACATAGAGAAAGAATACACCATAAAAAGACTGAGGAGAGAGGTCATGGCGTGAAGCCACCGCTGCCGCTGCTACCGCCGTGAGGTCTGAGCACTGGGTTGCAGCCATGGCCTACTGTCGGCAGGAAGGGAAGGATCAAATTATATTTGTGACCAGAGAAGACCATGAAACTCCAAGCAATACAGAGCTGGTGGCTGACGATCCCAATGATCCATATGAGGAGCATGGATTGATCCTGCCCAATGGAGACTTTAACTGGAAATGCCCGTGCCTTGGGGAATGGCTAGTGGCCCCTGTGGGGAACAATTCAAACAGCCTTTTCCCTGCTTCCACTATAGCACAGAGGATCTCAAGGGATCAGACTGTGTAGACCAGTTCCAGGCCAGGCAGGAAAGCATAACTTATTCTGATCATCAGGGGATTTTTCCCCTTGACATATACACTGAAAAACATGGGGTTATATGTTTCTATCTCACATAACTCTACCAGTGACTGTGGCTGCTGCTTTCGAATTCTCCTCAGAGATTATCTCTAAGTTTGCCACTTGAAATAACATGCTGAATACTCTCAGCAACTAAAAATCATTATCTAGGAGTGTCTCTTGTGAGTGAGCTGATTTATTCTGATTCATTATCTCCCTTTTAGTAGATTTTATACCCGTTTGGGAAATGAAATAGAAACAAAAACATCTTCCTTGATAAATGCTGGGATGGGGCCATTCCTAATAAAAGAGGCCAGATAATCACATACTTATTTCTCAAAAACCGTCTTGACCTTGTATATGAGAGGTACTATGCTTCATTTCTGATACAATTTGGTTTCCATTTTTATATGGAAGCCCAGGTTTTCTTTCTAGAGAGTGGAGCTTTGGACCCTCCGACTCACAGAGACTTTCTAAAAAGAAGAAGCTGGTTTTGCTGTTCTTGTTATTCCAGAAGCCCTGGTTGGGGCCTGTGTTCACACTGGCTGGTCAGATGCAATATTCTTGAGAGGTGGGGACCTACTTGTTACCAAAGTAGTGACCAAGAAGGAAACACGAATTAAAAGGAGAGGACGGTTTTACCAGTTTTTGAATGTGTCCTTTCTTTTTACTGATTAAAAATGTTTTTTATGTAAGGAAATATAAATTATGAAAAGTTCAATTGAAATTGCTCTTTGACCCGATTTTCTATGTTGAGTTCATATCAAGCAGTTTTTGTTTGTGAACAGATGCCTTCTGGCGGGCTCTTCACATTTGAAGATAAGGAACTAAAGCTCTCGTAGGCTAAATAACTCGCCCAAGGTGTAACTGCCAGGCAGTTTTCAGGCTGTGATGCAGTAATGCCTCATTTGTCCCAGGTGTATCGGTTATCTATTGCTGTGTTAAAAAATTACCTTAAAATATAGCAGCTTGAAACAAAAAACAAAGAAAAAAAAACAACAAAAAGACTGAGGAGAAACATTGTAAACTGAGAAGCAGGAGAGATTGACCTATTGGAGGGCTAGAAAAGAGTAAGTCTGAAATAGTTTTTGGTGAAGAGTGCTATAGTTGGAATGCCTGTGTCCCATTAATATTCATGTGCTGAAATCCTAATGCCCAATGTGAGGTCCTTAACTCATGAATGGAATTAGTGTCCTTATAAAGGAGACCACCTTCTATCCCCTTCCAGCTCCCTATCCCTTCGACTATGTGAGAACACAAAGAAAGGTTGGCCATCACAACCTAGAAGAGGGATTTTTAACAGAACCTGACTGTGCTGATCTCCTGATCTTGAACTTCCAGTCTTCAGAACTGTGAGAAATAAAATTATGTCATTTATAAGCCATCTAGTCTGTGGTATTTTGTTATACCAGCCTGAATGGACTAAGACAAAAAGGTCCAATTCTATGGAGAGCTTAAGTAGGTGGAGACTGGAAAATATGTCAGGAAAAGATGGGAAAAGGTAGAAAAAGTGGAGGGAAGTTGTATCCTGGCAGAGAGACTGGTGTAGGTGTGATGAGAGCAGAACTGAGTTTATATGCTTAGAGCTGCTACAGCCATGGGTGTGAGCATCAGGCCCATTTTGTGGGCACAGTGAGGGGAGAGAGAAAACTGACCTGTTGTGGACAATTGCTCTTTCTTTTTCTGATTCAGAACTGGGTTCCAGACAGAACATGTCAGGTTCTTCTGAGAAGCTTCTCTGAGGAGCAGTGATGTTGTTACGTGGAACAAGCCACGTTTGTCCTGGGTGTGAGTCTCAGACTCAGCTGGAATTTCTCCTCCCTCAGAGTCCATCCACTGGACCTTTGGCTGAGGGAACCAGCCCTCTGACTTGCACTCTAATCGGAGTTGTCGGGATTTAGTGACTTCCACATGGAGCTGAGGATGTGAGCCCAGAGCTGGAAAGAGGAAGAGAGAGAAGTCAGGTCCTAAGCTCATTTTTCTGCACACATATCCCTCCCCTGCTTCTCAAGAGTTTATGCTGCCGCTTAGACCTCAATGTGCAGAACAGGAAACTCTGAAGAAGTGTTGGCAACAAAGATGGGGGCTTAGAGTCCTGGGCTAGAAAGATTTCCAACACAGTCCAAGACAAATGGCCCCTGCCTATTTCTTGACTCCCACTATGAGTCTCTTTATTATCTTTGATTTAGTCCCAAGCAGCAATATATGGATGATGGAGTGAGTAGACATAATGGAAAATCTCCCTTTCTCCTATGTCTTCTTTATATTTCCCAGTAAAACTGGATCAGGGAAAGGAGCCCCTGTAGGGTGTCAAGGGGATAAATGTGGGCGATTACCTGCCACTTTCAGCTCAATCACTGCTTCACTGTAGAAGGAGCCATGTTGAATTACACAGCGATACTGACCATTGTCAGAGGTTTGGACATTGAGGATTTTCAGGACCACAATCCCCCTATGCAAGATATTCTTCACAAGCTCTGTCCTCCCTAAATACTCTTCCATGGCTTTCTCAGGCTTATCCCGCCCACCCTCATACAGGTGCACCACCTGAGAGGGTAGGGTTCGGGTCCAGCTTATTTTCATATTTTTAATACTTTGAGGAGGTAAGAGGAAGCAGGGTAGTTCTGCTTCACCACCCAGCATGGCCACCATGGGTTCATGAGGCCCCTGGACTTGGAATGCTCCTGAAAAGAAAATAGAGATAGAGTCACGGTGGGCTGAGGACAAATGAAAGGGTGTTGACTACATATATGATTGGCTATTTTCATCATAACCAACTACTGGGGACCAGTTCTGAAATGGGATAGTTGCTGAATCTTGAGGATCTCTTTTCTGAATATACACACAGAGCTAGGACATAGTTGGAGTTCTGGGAAACCCTCTATCCAGGCCTTGCTGAATGAGAGAAGCAAAAGACCTAGGACAAAACTTCCGCGGAGGCACTCACTTTTGGGGTACAGGTGCTGGGTCCTCAAGATCCTGAAATCAAGTGCCCCTT